GATTTGAGTTTCCGATTCAGTGAAATTTGTAATTTTCTGGTGAAATCCATTTGCAGATATCACGCCGCCACTCATCCCTACTAATAATGACTCCGCATCCCCGTCCCCTAATTCTGCTCCGGGCGGATCACACCTGTTGGGGCCGAGTGAATGACAAGCAGAGAGATCCGTAAATAAAGAATTCGATAGAAAGATAAAACGGAGAGCAGGAAAGAGATCGCCACAAACACGACTCTGACAACGTTCTGTGATAGTTACTTTGTATCCAGTGGCTGGAAGAGTTCTGCGTCCTGATTGGCTGACGCGTCAGCGCTCGTGACAATTCTTATGAGACCATTAAACCCGGAGCTGACGTCATGAATCTCTGACGCACAATGCGGGCCCGGCGTAGTCACCGCACGCTAAACTCCCGAGTCAAATCTTAGGCCCCTTCTCACACGGCCGGCCCGATCAGGTGCATTAGATTTTCAGATGGACCCGATCGGATGCCCAATGCAGGTGGGCTGACGTGCGTACATGGACGAGCGTCCCTTTATTATTATTATTATACGGGATTTATAGAGCGCCAACAATTTGCGCAGCGCTGTACATAATGGAGGAGACGGTACAGTTACAATACATTACAGTTTCAGTACAATAGGGTTAGGAGGGCTCGTGAGAGCTTACAATCTTGTTTATACCCGGTTACCCCGGCCGCGTCCGGAGAGAGACGGAGGGATCAGAGATTCGCCAGATCGGAGGTAATCTGATGTAGACTGAGACGCGTCCAATTATATCAGATTCCCCCATAGACCGGCAGTTTCCTTTTTGCGATAGAGGGAAATAACTGTACGGACACGGATGTCGCGTCGGTGACACAGGGCCGGATTTCCCACTAGGTCAACCGAGGCCCGGCCTTGGGGCAGCAGGAAGTAGAGGGGCAGCAGGGAGCAGAGGGGCAGCAGGGAGTAGAGGGGCAGCAGGGAGCAGAGGGGCTGCAGGGAGTAGAGGGGCAGCAGGGAGCAGAGGGGGAGCAGAGGGGCAGCGGGGAGCAGAGAGGCAGCGGGGAGCAGAGGGGCAGCAGGGAGCAGAGAGGCAGCAGGGAGCAGAGGGGCAGCAGGGAGTAGAGAGGCAGCAGGGAGTAGAGAGGCAGCGGGGAGCAGAGAGGCAGCGGGGAGCAGAGGGGCAGCAGGGAGCAGAG